GCCCCCTCATCTTGCGCCGCGCAGGCGCTTCGGATATGGAAAGATGCCCACCTGCTGAGCCGCAACAGCTAAATAAGACGGGGGCAGGCACAGGGGGAAGCGCGGGGGGGGCGGAGGCAACGCCAGGGGCGCGAAGCGGGCGCCGAGGCCCGTATATAGCCAGGAGTAACGGGGCCTCGTAGGCTCGCACGGCGCAGCTAGCAGCTGCTGGGGCGGGGCAGCGAGAAACTGCAAAGTGTCGCCGCAACGGCGCTAGCAGTACAGAGGGCCGCGGGGGGCCTGATCCCTGGACGCCTAAGGCGGGCCAGGGAGGCGGCAGCCATCCGAGGGAGGTGCGCCGCAAGGGATGCCCCGAGTGGGGGGCCTAGAGCCCGGGACGGGCCCCGAGCCCCAGCCAGGCACGTCCGAGGCGGAATTAGCACGACCGTGGAAGTCGCGCGTTGAGTGGGCGCGGGCCCCCCGCCAGGTGGCAAAGGCCCGCCCCGTCGCATCGGTTGTCGAATGGCGGTTGGGCCTACAGGAACGGGGCAGGCCGTCCTGCTGCGCTGGACATCGCCCCCCCGCCCCCCCCCGCGACTGTCTGCCCTTGCCTTTGGTGGGGGCGTCGGCGCGCGCGGCCTCAGTGCGCACCCCGTTCCACCAAATCCCGAGCTTGAGCGCGCCCTTCGTTGCAAAGGCGTTGCATTCGAAACGCGCCCACTCGCGTAGGAGCCGGGAGCACGAATGGGGCTGCTGAAATGAAGGGTCGGCGCGGACCCTAACAGGGTTCGGGCAGCGCACGGTCGCCCACCGGCGCCGGCGGGCGTTAAAGCAAGGGCCCAAGTCCTTCTGCAGTCGCTTCATGGTCTCTGCGGGGGCTTCCCCGACATGTGGCTGGAGGGAGACCCGGTCGAGGGGGGTTCGGTACATGCACTGGCGGGTCTGGGGGTCGCAGAGATCGTGCCCGACACCCTGGTCGCGCCTGGGATGGCGGCGCCCAGGATGGCCCTCGCCTAGCGCAGCTGAAAGGAGGGCCAGGGTACCTCCTCCGAGCCCCGCGCCTGGTCAAGCCTGTTCCAGCGCTCGTTACTTTCCCAGCTATCCCATCTGGCCCAGTGCGCCCAGCGGTTGCCGCACGGGCTACTGCGGCCACTCTCACTGCGCCAACGTGGGCGTCGCTCGCGCAAGTCGCCATTCCAGTCCTGTCTGTTCCACGCGCCAGTGCACGGGCGGGCCCTGAGCATGCTAGGGGAACGAGGAGCGCTCTGCCCCTGCGGACGCGCGAATCCCCGCGTCGGCGACGGAAGTGGGGTCCAATTGGAGACCTGCTGGGGAGGTTGGGGTGCAGGCCCCGCCTTCCTGCACGCGGCTGGCCGAGGAGTGCACGACCTCGGCGCGCTCGGTGCTCGGTGATGGGGAGAGCTCGACCCGGGCGCCTTTGCGGCCTTTGGGCGCCATGGGGGCTGGGCACGGGCGGGCAGCGCCGGATACCCCGAGCCCGTCCCCGTGGCGAGTATGGGTCCCATAACCCTCGCCGTGGGAATGGCTTCCCCACAAGCCGCTGCTTGGGCCAGAGGCCCGCGCCTCGGGCCGGCTTCCTGAGAGGGCTCGCGGTCCGGGGACGGGGAAGCCCGGTGGAGGCAGGGCGGGCCAGTGGGACTGCGTAGAGAAAGGGCGGGGGAAGGGCGTGCGGCCTCGTCCCAACCCGGGCTAGGTGAGGGGGACCGGTGGTGCTGAAACCCTCCCGGGGGGTTGGCGGCGTCGCGGGGGCCCACGGCGCGGTCCCGAACCTCACTCTTGTCCATCTTGCCGCGGGCGGTGATGTGGAACCGCTTGCACATCTTCTGAAGTTCTTGCATGGGGATCTCCGTGGTGAGATGCATCTGGGTGTCGGGCGCGATTCTGTCCTCGCTGCTCTGCGCCAAGAATTCGGCCAGCGTCTGAACAGTGCGCCGTCGGGGGGACGGCCCGCGCGGGGGCCACTTAGTGGAGTGGAGAAGCCACCCGTCTATTTCACTGGTGTCCTTAGGAAACGCGCAGAGCTTGACGACCGCCCGCGCGGCAGATAGCCGTTTCCCTTGCCACTGGAAGTCCCTGGTGAAGTACGTAGACGGAACCCGTGTACCATAGACTTGCGCCAGGAAGGATCGCAGCTGGGGCTGCGCCCAGATCCGTGGGCCACCCCGGCGCAATACATGTTTGCAGTCGGTGGTTACGAAGTCCCACCAGTGGCCGTTGAGAAGCGGATGCAGGTCCCGCATATGCTCGATTATACGGACCTCGATGGGCCTTGTCGGACTGGTCGGCATCGTACTCCTCTGCGAGCAGATGATGGGGACCTTCAACCCTGGCCCGCGCGGCATGTCAGCAACAGGGAGCAGGTCGAGGACTTCTTTTGCTTTCGTCCGACATAGAAGGGGGGGAGTGCGTCCGAGATATCTCCCTTGGCGACGCCCATCGCACAGGCTGAGCGGGGCCAGGGGGGCGGCAAGGGCGCGGTTGAGGGTGAGCTCGTTGGTGGGAGAGTATGCGTCGGGGGCAGGCGGCGTGCACCGAGCCTGGCTGGGGGGGTCAGGAGGGCAGATCAGGTGCGACCACTGGTCGAGGAGCCGGTCAACAGAGCTGGGGCTGGCGCCCCAGGCAAACACGAGGCAAGAGCGGCACACCCAGGTAGCATTTCAGTGGCGACTGCGGGTAGCCGATCGGCCCACGCTGGGAGGCCACCCACGTCGGTAGAACTGAACTCAGCGTCCGCTTTCCATACAAAACAACCCAGTGCGGGTGTGCTGGGTTCCCATGCCATGGGGGGTGCGTTGTGTGGACACATGTCGCACGTCGCCGTGTAGCGCTTGGAGATGTGGGCCGCGAGTCCTAACCTGTCGTCGTCGATACGAGTGGGTGGGATGGCTGTGTTGGCCTGGTTGGGCACGTGGAGGCCCCAGGGGGCCAGCAGGAAGTGGCCCAGGTCGACCTGGCATGTCTTGGTCGGTGTGGGGGCCGCAAGCCGAGGGGGGGTGGGAGGGGGATGGGGCACCGCCGGGGGCCGTGTAGGGTTCCTGGCCTGGGACACCGCGAGGACCGCGTCGGCGAGCGTGCAGTCCGCAGGAACGACGTGACCATCGGCTTCCGTCGCCTTGACCCAGCAGGGGCCGGAAGGCCATGTGCAGTCCAGGTCATTCGCGTGCGCCTGCAGCCGGTTGGGTGCAAGGTAGGATCGGATGCTGTCGTTCAACCAAGTGCCATCCAGATACTGGCATTGGGGCTCGCGGCATTGGTCGCAATGAAACTTGGCTTCCTTCCGACTGGCGCTGAAGCGCGTGTCGCCTGGAGCAAGGAATGGGGGGACCTTGGTGAAAGAGGGGAGTGGCGCTGGTGGCAGGGGACTTGTCGAGGGGGTGTGGCCGAAGGAGAAGCCGCCGCCAAGGAAGGTGGCCTCAGGGGGGCACTCGGCTGGTCCCGGGGCACACTCCTTGCCTGCGAGGGCCTGCTGAAGAGAGCGGATGCTGCACGCCGCACGCGAGAGAGTTCTGAGGTCGGCCAGCCTCACGATTCTCTCGAGAACTAGCACGGGGGCCTTGAGTTTGAAGTCGCAGGATTCCAGGCCAGCGTAGGTGGTTGGGCATCCTGCCTCCTTAGCTGCAGGGTGGCGATGGGCGGTGGAAAGCAGATGGGCTGCCGCACCGATCAATGCCTCCGGCTTCCCGTGAAGGTCCCTGAGTTCAGAGAGCTGTAGCCCCCGAGAGGCAGCCAGCTGCGAGCGGAAGTGGTGGCGTCTTTCCTGCCAAGGGCAGCAGAGTCCAAGGGTGGCTTCCAGGTTGTCCCCCGCGCCAGAGGGGTCGGGAAAAGGCCACATGTGAGTGCGCGGTTCGCGCTTCATGAGCAACATGATGATGAGTACGCACCAGCGCTTCGCCTGAGGCATGTCTCGTTGGTCGGATTCGAGCAGCTTTGGTTGGTTGCTGACCCCATCTTGGGTTTAAGGAGGTCATTAAGAGTGTCCAGGCCAGGGTACACCAGGTGGCGCGGGCAGGTCCGGGTCCCGCTCGACCAGGCGCTGGGGACGTGGTGCAAAAGGTCCTGGGGGGTACAGCGGTTCTTGTTTGGGGGCCTACGCCCCGCACGTCCCTGAGCGAAGCGTAAAGAAATTGTAACATCCCAGGAGTTGCAGCCGAGCTTCCCCAGCGAGAAAGCCTTGGCCCCGCTGCCCGACCTGCCCCGCCCCTCCTGCAGGTGCGGGTCGAGGGGCCATCTCCGCTGGGCTTCGTGGCATCCGTTGGCGGCGCGCACAAGGGGGTGGAGGGAGGGGGGAGGGCATCTTCTTAGGAGGAGGCTGCTTCTTAGAAGGCGCCAGCCCTGCATCTACAGGTAAGGCCCGCGCCTTCTAAGAAGCAGGGGTGCTTCTAAGGAGCCCTCAGCCGTCCCCCCTACCCCCCTCTGCGCGTGGCCGAATCCGTCCCCACCTCGAAGGGGGCAGGCTGGTGGCGAAGGCACCCTTGGCCCACTGGGCATGGGGCACAAGCACGACGGCGCTGGCCCGCACAGACTCCAAAAGGCCCCCGAGCACCTTCCGCAGAGGACCTCGAAGACTCGCCCCGACGAGATCCAGGCAGCGTGGGGAAGGACGACCTCTGCCCTCCGCACCCTCCTGGCGGCGCGCACACGAGGGGACTGCGCGAGGGGGGCAGCCTCCTGAGAAGGCCGGGGGGGGGGGGGGCGCCTTCTCAGAGGGCGGAGGGCAGAGGGCCTCTCGGACGCCCTCCCGGGAGAGATCCACAGAAACCACCCGCCCTCTCATGAAGGCCGCCCCCGCGTTCACAGACGGCCGCCCCCTCGCGCCACCGCCTGTGCGCGCCGCCGCCTCCTCCCTCCTCCTCCCTCCTCCTCCTCCTCCTCCTCCTCTCCTCCTCCCTCCTCCTCCTCCTCCTCCTCCTCCTCCTCCTCCTCCTCCCCACTCCCGCTCCCTCCCCCCTCCCAACGATCGGCCCGAGAGCTCGAGCTGCGAACGCCGTGCCCGGCCGGTCCTCCCACGAGAACGGCACGGCCCCGAACAGGTAGTCATCCGGCGGCGTGTAGACCTTGGACTCCCTTCGTCCCTCTTTTCTGTGCGTACCTCCTCCTCGTCGCCCAACGAGGCGTGTCAGTAGGGCGGGCCAAGGGATGTCCTCGGGGACGTTGCCGCCAGGCTGTGACCCCGAGCGCTGCTGAGTATCCAAAAGCTGCACGGGTGCAGGGCGGGTCGCTTTCGACGTGGATATGTGGCCAGAGCGGAGCGCCGCACAAACTCGCCTGAAAGCTTACAGCATCCTCAAGGACGGAGGGCGGCTGCTTTCCAACACGGGGCTCTCGCCTTAGCGCCTCGCGCAGCCGTCTGACAAAAAAAGCATCGGCTATAAAGATGGAGGGCAGGTCCTTGCAGAATGGTGGTCTTGCCTCAGCGCCACGCACGTTTGCTTCAAAAGATTTACCGGGTTGGTCGCTCTCTTCCGAATTGTGGCTCTCGCTTGGCAACTTGTTCAAAGCTCGCTAGCAGGTGTACAGGACTGTGCAGCAAGTACACGGATGGAGGGCGGCACCTATTCGAAGCAGGGCTCTCCTTTGAATGGCAGGCACATGTGGCTTTCGTGTCTCAAGAGGCATCCGAAGTGAAAACTGATAGCTCAGGGACTCATCATGACGGGACTGCGGACGGGAGGATGTCGCTGAGTCGACCTGGGTTTACTCTGGTCTTCCTGCTCCTCCTCACCCCCCTCCCTATCCTTCTCCCCCTCCTCCTCCTCCTCCCCGCCCCCTCTCCCTCCGCCTCCTCCTCCACCTCCGCCTCCGCCTCCTCCTCCGCCTCCGCCTCCTCCTCCTCCTTTTTCCTCCTCCTCCTCCTCCTCCTCCTCCTCCTCCTCCTCCTCCTCCTCATCCCCCTCCCTCAAGCGCTTTCTAGCCGGGGGGCCCGCCAGGACCCTTTTCCAGTCTCACCTTGTGCTGGACCATCATTGTGCTCGCTTGAGCGCCGCGGTTCTCGCGGTGAAAGCAAGGTATCCCTCCCCTTCGGGTGCAGTGGCCGCCACGGGGCCGCCTCCTCACGCTGCTGACGATCGATCGCGCTGACGGCTGGTCGTGTGCTCCCTGGCACAAGCGTGGGCGAGGCCCGCCCCGGAAGCCTGCCGCAAGAAGAGCACATCGAGCTAGTGGTTCTGCAAGCCGCGTGGGCCCTCGAGGCCTGTGCTCCGTGGAAGAGCGCCCGCCCCTCCACGTGGACCCCCCCCTGCGGGCGGCCAGTCTGGGACTGCGGCTCCGGGTCCCCCCATCCGGGAGGACCTGCCACTCAGGAGCTTGAGCAGATGGTGGTCGTGTTGGACAAGTGCGGAGACACTGCGGCCGCGCAGAGGCATCGCGCCACCATCGAGGCCAGGGAGAAACCATCGGGTGCGGGTGACCAGCCACTCAACCAGCTTTCCAGGAGCTGCGCACGTGGAGGGATCGCACGGACACGGCGTGCAACCACTATGAGCGACTGGCCGAGGAGCTGCGCCTGCAGCGTATCGAGTTGCCGAATGCAGCCGTCACCTGTCGGAGGCTGAGGAGACACACCAGGAGCTCGTTGCCAAGCTCAATGAGGAGGTGTGCAAGGCCAAACCCAAGGCCAAGCTGGACGTCAAAAATATCATTGATGGCACTGTGGAGTACGTTCCGATGTGTGTGGACTCGCTGTTGGGCCCTGCGGTATGCCAACTACAAGCTTGATTTACTCAGGACGCTCGTGACGAGAAGGGGAGGCGCATCGACACCCTCGAGTCGGGGCTGCAGGTTGCGATCAAAGGCATGTTCGGTGGCGTCGCGGACCAGGTCAAGAAGTTACAGACCGAACACGAGGCCCAGGCGGTTGGAGGCGAAGCGCCCTCGAGTCGAGCAGCCAGGCGGTTATGATGCAGGTGGCGCTGGTGGTGGTGCTCCTCCCGCTGCTGCTGTCCCAGGTGAAGGAGCTGCTCCCGCGGCGGCGGCTGCACCCGCAGGCCAGCAGGTGGCAGCGGGCGTTGGGCAGACCGCGGCCACACCAGGGGCCGCGAGCGCCGCCTCGGTACCGGCTTCTGCCAATGATGCCGCTGGTCGGGCTGCCCGCATTTTGCAGACTGCTCCCCCCGTTCGCGCTGACACACCAGCCCCAGCGGGGGGAGAGGACCTCTGAAGGAGGGGACTGGAAGTCCCCCGGGGGCTCTCCTCCTCCTCCTCCTCCTCCTCCTCCTCCTCCTCCTCCTCCTCCTGCTCCTCCTGCTCCTGCTCCTCCTCCTCCTCCTCCTCCTCCTCCTCCTCCTCCTCCTCCTCCTCCTCCTCCTCCTCCTCTTGTCCCTCTCCTCGGGCCGACCTCGAGCCTACCCTGCTCCACTCTAAGGGGCCCCCTTAGTTTTGGTGTTGCCCCGTTGGCTCGGTCAAGTGTTGGCGCCGCTCCAGTTAGGCAGGAACACATGTCCCTGGGATGCAAGTTTGTCGTCCAAGAGGCGTTTGACGAGGCTGACGTGGCCGCGCCCACAAAGTGGTGAGAAGTGGATCTACGAATAGAAGGGAATATTGTTGAGCGCCCCGCCCGTCCCACCCGCACCCCCTCTTTTGCTCGGTATCTTCAAGATTTGCAGGCTAGCGCCTGCCGTATCATTCGCCAGGACCACATGGGTCTCCCTCCCGAATGGTCTATGAAGGTCCTGCCATCCCTTTAGCGACCCCGTGCTGCGGTGCTCTCAGGTTGGCCTCCCCCTGGAGCCACTGGAGCCCGAAAGGATTTATCAGGTTGTTGCTGCTCCCAGGGCTCTCCCGCTTAGGGCCCCCGCTTGGCCTCAGCTGGTCTCGGGCGCTACTGGTACTCCCGTCACCTTCCCCCTGAGGCCAGACGAGGTTCCCCGTGATGACTTCGCCCATGTCGTGGAGTCGTGCAATGTGTCAGAGTGGGGCAGTGCGAAGACGTGGCTTACTCAGACTGTGGCTGTAATCGTGCTCCTGCGGGAGCACCACCTGCGCACACATGACTTGGCGTCAGCAAGCTCCTGGTGCGTGGGACATGGCTGGAAGTCGCTGTTTCTCCCTGCTGGGCGTGTATTGGAGGGCGGCCCCAACGCGGGCGTCGCGGTGTTAGCGCGTGCTGGGCTGGGCATGTTCGAGCTCCTGTTTGGCACCGAGGTCTGGCCACATCGTGCTGTCGCTGCCACCGTCCAGTTGCCCGACCAGGACCAGGTTCTGTCGCATCAGCGTTTACCTTCGGAATTCCAAAGGGTTGTCGGACGAGATCTTGGCTATGCTAAGTAACTGTGGCGCCTGCTTGGGGACCCTGGTGTACCCTGTCATCCTGGGAGGACATGTCAACATGGAACCCGAAACGATTGTGCAAGTTGTTGAATCCAAAGTTGGAGGGAAGTGGGTTGCACCAGAGGGACACACCCGCACTGGCACTGGTGGCCAGATGGGTTTACAACCAGTTCTACTGCAGCGCTGAGCTTTGCAAGGGAAATATGCGTGCGAAGGTCGTCCAAGACGCTGACCTCTCGCCGCACTTCCCCGTGCACATGTCTTTCCATCCCCGCCTGTCCTCTCTTCAGGCTCTGGCGGGATGGGCCGAAGGCAATGAAATCTGCCGCCCCCTGTGGTCTCGCCACATGGGTGCGCAGCGTGTCGAATGCCTGGCGGATGTCTTGCCCGTTTCTGCAGGACTCCCCGTGGGGTCTCGGCCAAGCCCGCCAGCCGCACAAAAAGCTCCTAAAAATCCCCCCTCGTTGGCCAAATCGCATGCACCACGGCCAAGATGGCCCAAGCTGGCCCCAAGACTGGCCGGATGGCCCCACGAGAGCCCGAGATAGTCCCAAGATGGCCTCCACTACGGTCCCAAGATGCCTCCAAGACCACCACGATGGTCCATGAGAGCACGAGGCGGTCCAAGATGCGCCCAAGAGGCCCCTAAGACGGCCCGAAAGGCCTCCAATAGATCCTCCAGGAAGGCCCGCAGAGGTCAAGATCACTGATTGTCCTCGGGTGTTGAACGTTGTTGGCATGTGTTTCAAACGGTCCTCCGACGGCCCAAGACGGCCCTAAGATCGCACAAGAGGCCACCAAGATGGCCCTTGACGGCTCAAGAGGCTCCCAAGATAACCCCAAAGATGGCTTTCAAAGTCTGAAATGACTATGGCAAGTCAAATAGCATCCAATTCCACGCTGTGTTAGTTCAGTATGGGGAGTGGATGGACAAGATAAGGTAAGATCGATGTAGTGATCTTTCCAGCACATAGCGAACACCAGCGGGGTCCGGGCAAATAGGGCGCGCGCGTCTTGAGCCAAAGGCAACGGCGCGCAGGCTATACTCCCGATCCTCTATAACATCTCCCAAAGAGCTACCCAGAAAGTCGGGAGGGGAGGATACGGAGAGTATAGCCGCGCAGCCGTTAGGCTCTAGAAAGGCCGCGCGCACAACTGTTTGCAAGAAAAACAATACGCACAGTCTGGCCTAACACCAGACTGTACGGCGAGATTATTCGCCGGCGAGTTCCCTCGCAAAACATGTTCACGCATACGCAGGATAGCCCCTTGGATATCAAAGGGCTATCGGCCCGGCTAGAGGTAAGCCAAACAGGCGATTCCTCTCCAGGCAAAAAGGTATTAAAGCAAAGAGCCTGAACCAATCTGAACAGGCTCGTTGCCAAGCGTGAAAAGTAGGGCTCGTTCCCGAGCGGCTAGGAGGGCGCCTCTGTCTTAGGCGCCCGTGCTGGCAAACAGGACCGCGGGGGCAACAAGGACAGACTAAAACTGATTCGACTTAGGCTTCCTTTTGTCCTCAGGGCCACGAAAGGGAACAAACTGCTTCACGTCTTACTAAATGACTGAGTGCCTGACATCCCTTCCAAAAGCAGCTCCCGATCGATACTCCCCTTTGTATGCCCATCTGCGGTCATGTCTCTAGTATCACACCACTGTAAGTTATGCACTATACCTATATCCATAAGTTCACGTATCCAGCTGATATGCCCCTGCAAAGTCCGTTCCATCAGCATCTTAAGATCTTTGTTGGATAGCGATTTTTAGACAGACTCAGCGTCTATAGTAAGGT